GTGTGTGTGTTTCACCTCCCTTGTAGTGTGTGTGTTTCCCAATCTTGTAGTGTGTGTGTGTTTCCCAACCTCCCTTGTAGTGTGTGTGTTCCCCACCCTTGTAGTGTGTGTGTGTTTCACCTCCCCAGTGTGTGTGTGTGTTTCCCACCCCTTGTAGTGTGTGTGTGTGTGTTTCCTCTCTCCAGTGTGTGTGTGTGTGTTCCCATTCCCATGTCCTCCTGTAGTGTGTGTGTGTGTGTTTCTAACCTTGTAGTGTGTGTGTGGCTCCCCACCTGTAGTGTGTGTGTGTGTGTTCCCAATCCCTGTAGTGTGTGTGTGCTCCCACCCTGTAGTGTGTGTGTGTTTCCCAACCTCCCTGTAGTGTGTGTGTGTTTCCCACCCCTTGTAGTGTGTGTGTGTGTTTCCCACCCTCCCTTGTGGTGTGTGTGTGTTCCACCTCCTTGTAGTGTGTGTGTGGTTTCCCACCTCCTGTAGTGTGTGTGTTTCCCACCCTCCTTGTAGTGTGTGTGTGTCTCCCACCTCCCCGTGTGGTGTGTGTGTGTTCCCACCTCTGTAGTGTGTGTGTGTGTGTCTCCCACCTGTAGTGTGTGTGTGTTTCCCACCTCCTGTGGTGTGTGTGTGTGTTTCTCCCTAGGTGCGTTTCAACCTCCTTGTAGTGTGTGTGTGTTTCCCTACCCTCCTCTGTAGTGTGTGTGTTTCCTACCCTCCTGGTAGTGTTGTTCACATGGTGGTAGTTTGTTCACATGGTGGTAGTGGTTCACATGGTGGTAGTGTTGTTCACATGGTGGTAGTGTTGTTCACATGGTGGTAGTGCTGTTCACATGGTGGTAGTGTTGTTCACATGGTGGTAGTGTTGTTCACATGGTGGTAGTGTTGTTCACATGGTGGTAGTGTTGTTCACATGGTGGTAGTGTTGTTCACATGGTGGTAGTGTTGTTCACATGGTGGTAGTGTTGTTCACATGGTGGTAGTGTTGTTCACATGGTGGTAGTGTTGTTCACATGGTGGTAGTGTTGTTCACATGGTGGTAGTGTTGTTCACATGGTGGTAGTGTTGTTCACATGGTGGTAGTTGTTCACATGGTGTAAAGTCGTTCACATGGTGGTAGTGCTGCTCCACATGGTGGTGCAGGGTTGTTCACATGGTGGTAGTGTTGTTCACATGGTGGTAGTGTTGTTCACATGGTGGTAGTGTTGTTCACATGGTGGTAGTGTTGTTCACATGGTGGTAGTGTTGTTCACATGGTGGTAGTGTTGTTCACATGGTGGTAGTGTTGTTCACATGGTGGTAGTATTGTTCACATGGTGGTAGTGTTGTGGACATGGTGTTGATGTTGTGGGCATGGTGGTGATGTTGTGGGCATGGTGGTGATGTTGTGGGCATGGTGGTGTTGTTGTGGGCATGGTGGTGTTGTTGTGGGCATGGTGGTGATGTGAGCATGGTGGTGATGTTGTGGGCATGGTGGTGATGTTGTGGGCATGGTGGTGAAGTTGTGGACATGGTGATGATGTGGGCATGGTGGTGATGTTGTGGGGATGGGTGGTGATGTTGTGGGCATGGTGGTGATGTTGTGGGCATGGTGGTATTGTTGTGGCCATGGTGTTGATGTTGTGGGCATGTGGTGATGTTTGTGGGCTTTGGTGGTGATGTTGTGGGCATGGTGGTATTGTGGCCATGGTGTTGATGTTGTGGGGCGGTGGTGTTTTTGTGGGCATGGTGGTGATGTTGTGAGCATGGTGGTGATGTTGTGGGCATGGTGGTGAAGTTGTGGACATGGTGATGATGTGGGCATGGTGGTGATGTTGTGGGGATGGTGGTGATGTTGTGGGCGTGGTGGTGATGTTGTGGACATGGTGCTGGTGATGTGGACATGGTGGTGATGTTGTAGGCATGGTGGTGATGTTGTGGGCATGGTGGTGATGTTGTGGGCGTGGTGGTGATGTTGTGGGCATGGTGGTGTTTTGTGGGCATGGTGGTGATGTTGTGAGCATGGTGGTGATGTTAGGCATGGTGGTGAAGTTGTGGACATGGTGATGATGTGGGCATGGTGGTATTGTGGCCATGGTGTTGATGTTGTGGGCATGGTGGTGTTTTTGTGGGCATGGTGGTGATGTTGTGAGCATGGTGGTGATGTTGTGGGCATGGTGGTGAAGTTGTGGACATGGTGATGATGTGGGCATGGTGGTGATGTTGTGGGGATGGTGGTGATGTTGTGGGCGTGGTGGTGATGTTCTGGACATGGTGCTGGTGATGTGGACATGGTGGAGATGTTGTAGGCATGGTGGTGATGTTGTGGGCATGGTGGTGATGTTGTGGGCGTGGTGGTGATGTTGTGGACATGGTGCTGGTGATGTGGACATGGTGGTGATGTTGTGGACATGGTGGTGGTAATGTGGACATGGTGGTAATGTGGAAAGGAAGGTGGTGTTGTGGGCATGATGGTGATGTTGTTGACATGGTGGTGTTGTTGTTGTCATTGTATTGAAATGAATTGAATTGAATTGAACAGTTTATTTAGCCAGAAAAACACAGATACAGAGTGGATAATAATAACAATATTAACATGACTGAGCCAGTTGAGAACCTCAGCTCTCTTTTAGGCACCTGATATATACTATATATTTATCTCAAGGAAGTGTTATGTAACATTTAATATCATTTGGAATAGTACAATAGCATGGTGGTAATAAGAATATTTCATAATGTGACCACGGTTATCACTTCAATGTTTATTTATTTAATTTATTATATATATATATATATATATATATATATATATATATATATATATATATATATATATATATATATATATATATATATATATATATATATATATATATATATATATATTACAGTGGCAATGAAAAACATAAGTACAATGGGGGAGCAGTACAGTACAGTAATAAGGTTGAACAAGAGGACAGAGCTGTCAGGATTATGTCTAGTTGGCAATTATGTTTATTGCAATGGTAAATAATTACTTATCTATTTTAATATTTCCATGATAATTTCCGATAACACGGTTTTGATGGTACAATAAAAGCAGGTACTGTAAATATAGTAGGTGTTACGAGAAATATTAATACTTAGACAATAGATATTTTTTAAGAGATGATTTAAAGGAAGGGAGGGTAGTCTTTGCTCTGATGGGTGGGGGTAAGTTGATCCACACCTTCACACCAAGACATTTTATGGAGGTCTGGGACTGAGAGGAGCACATGGGGGTGGTTTTAGTAGCTCTGGGTCTGATTAATCCGGAACTGGAAATAATTATTGTCAAGCAAGTGATTGATAGATTTGTAAACAAAAAGGTCACAGCAGTAAGTATCTTCGAATTTTAACATTTTCAATATAGCAAATTTTTCGTTTGTGTGATCTGTTTTTTCAAGTAGGTCATTGTCCGTACAACTCTCTTTTGTGCAGAAACCAGAGATTGTGTTTTTGAAGAGCCATAGCCACCCCCCCTCCCCCCCATAGTGTGTGACTGTGTATCAGGTGTTGGTAAACAAGATCATGATAGATTTCTTTCATTGCTGTGAGAGTGAGTGACTGTCGAGTGTGATACATGATACCACACTGTTTATTGACTTTACTGTGAATGGCTTGTATGTGGTTTCTCCAATTAAGTTTCTCATCAACAATAACTCCGAGGAATTTAGTATTTTATTCGCGTTTTAGGACTGTATTACCAAGGTACAGGGGGTCCAAGTCTGGGGGTAAGTTTTTCCTTCTGTGAAAGATCGTGTAGTGATGTAGTGGCCATGGTGGTGCTGTTGTGGGCATGGTGGTGATGTTGTGGGCAAGGTGGTGATGTTGTTGACATGGTGGTGATGTTGTGGACATGTTGGTGTTGTGGACATGTTGGTGTTGTGGACATGTTGGTGTTGTGGACATTGTCGTGTTCTGGACATGGTGTTGGTGGTGTGGATATGGTGATGATGTTAATAATATGGTGGTGGTGGTGATGTTGTGGACATGGATGTGCTGGTGTTGTGGACATAGTGGTAGTGTTGTGGACATAGTGGTAGTGTTGTGGACATAGTGGTAGTGTTGTGGACATGTTTGTAGTGTTGTTGTGGACACGGTGGTGATGTTGTAGACATGGTGGTGGTGTTGTGAACATGGTGGTAGTGTTATGGACATGGTTGTAGTGTTGTTGTGGACACGGTGGTGCTGTTGTAGACATGGTGGTGGTGTTGTGGAAATGGTGGGGGTGTTATATACATGGTGGTGGTGTTGTTGACATGGTGGTGATGTTGTGGACATGACATAAGAACAAAAGAAAATAAGGAGTCTGCAATGGGCTGGTTGGCCTGTGCATGGCAGCTCCTGGCGAGAGTTACTATCACTCTTTATCATCCATGAATCTATCTAGCCTCCTTTTAAAACTTTCCAGCATTCCAGCACTTACTACAAAGTTGCTACGCTTGTTCCACATGGTAGTGTTGTGGACATGGTGGTAGTGCTGTGTACATGGTGGTGGTGTTGTGGACATGGTGATGGTGTTGTGGACATGGTGGTGGTGTTGTGGACATGGTGGTGGTGTTCTGGACATGGTGGTGGTGTAATGGACAGTGGTGGTGTTGTGACATGGTGGTGGTGTGACATGGTGGTGGTGTTGTTGACATGGTGGTGATGTTGTGGACATGGTGGTGGTGTTGTGGACATGGTGGTGGTGTTATGGACATGGTGGTGTTATGGACATGGTGGTGGTGTGGACATGGTGGTGTTGTGGACATGGTGGTGATGTTGTGGATATGGTGATGTTGTTGACATGGTGGTGATGTTGTCGATATGGTGGTGGAGCTGCCAAGAAATAAATATGGCGATACTTTTAACAAAATTAATCCTTTTTACGGAACAAGTAAATTTACGAATCAATCATTCTCTCTCTCTCTCAAAATTAGCATATCACCAGGAAATGTGCAGATCTTTGAATGTATTTCCGGTGACATCCACAATGATACCATCACAGGACAGCGGATGTGTAAACCTACCTTCATCAATATAGTGTTGACTGCTGGTGCACGTATCAACAAGTGTTAGAATTTCCTGGTGGGTGTGTCACATGATGACCCACAACCTGCCGGGGATAACACCACCCTGACTCAACACCTCTTGTTAGGCTACGTTGATGATGTAAGCATTAACCTTGAGTTTCACTACCACAAGAATATATATTTATATATACTGTATATATATTCTTATATAAATATATCAGTATTGCTAATCACTCTCTAACTGTATAACACCGGGTGTTGTCAGGTGGTTATTATACTTTAAAGGATAAAAATCACAGTTCGATGAGAGGCACACTGACACGCTCCTCACTACCACCACTCTCTGGCCACACTGGACTCTGGCGGCATCAGGCTCAAGGCATGTGTGTGTGTGTGTGTGTGTGTGTGTGTGTGTACCTGCGTCATACCCCACTCTCCAACCTGCCCCCAGGGTAAACGAGCCTGCCCATTCCTGCACACACACACACACACACACACACACACGCGCGCGCGCGCGCGTGTTCAGTTATTATACGTACACGTACAGACACTGCGACATTAAATGACAGATACACAAATTAAAATATTCATACACACACGCGTAAGTGCTATCTACTCAAGAATACTTATTATCACGCCCTCAACTATCACATAATGTAAAACCTTTTATCATTGTTCTTACAATTATTACAAACAGCAAGTGGTAAGAAGAAGAAGAATGGAATAACTTGCTAACAAGCACAACTCCAGCACTGAGGGTGGAGGCGGGCGGCATCTGGGTAATATTCATTCACTGGAAGGACTACAATCATTAACTCCACCAGCCACGCCATCCCAATTCTCATAGACATCCTACGAGTAACTGGGTCTTAAGGTCATGATGTTTACCACTGTCTTCACCCCAATACCTGATTCTTAGGCGAGCAGGTGGGCAGCTAGGAGGGAAGCTGGGGGTGACGGTGAGGGGTATGGGGGGGTTATGTTGGGTGGGCGGCCGCCTTGGCAGACAGGCAGGCACCTGGGCCAGCGACAGGCGCGCCCACCACCACCACCACTACCACCACCTACCTATCCTCCACCACTACCACCACCACCACCACCACCACCACCACCATCACCACCTACCTGTCCTCCTCCTCCACTACCACCACCACCACCACCACCACCACCACCATCCTCCTCCACCACCACCACCACCACCACCACCACCACCACCCACCCATCCTCACACTACCACCACCACACCACCACCACCTCCACCACCACCACCACCACCACCACCACCACCACCACCACCACCACCTCCTCCCTACCACCACCACCACCACCCCACCACCACCACCCACCACCACCACCTACCTCCACCACCACCACCACCACCACCACCACCACCACCACCACCACCACCACTCCACCACCACCACCACCACCACCACCACCACCCCACCCACCACTCCACCACCACCACCACCACCACCACCACCACTCCTCCTCCTCCACCACCACCACCACCACCACCACCACCACCACACCACCTGTCCTCCTCCACCACCACCACACCACCACCACCACCCACCTATCCTCCTCCACTACCACCACACCACCACCACCCACCACCACCACCTGTCCTCCTCCTCCACTCACCACCACCACCACCACCACCCACCACCACCTACCACCACCACCACCACCACCACCCACCTGTCCTCCTCCACCACCACCACCACCACCACCACCACCACTACCTGTCCTCCTCCACCACCACCACCACCTAACCACCTACCACCACCACCACCACCCACCTATCCTCCTCCACTACTACCACCACCACCTACCACCACCACACCACCACCTACCTATCCTCCTCCACTACCACCACCACCACCACCTATCCTCCCCACCACCACACCACCACCACCACCACCACCTACCTGTCCTCCTCCTCCACTCACCACCACCACCACCACCACCACCACCACCACCACACCTACCTGTCCTCCTCCTCCACCACCACCACCACCACCACCACCACCACCACCTACCTGTCCTCCTCCTCCACCACCACCACCTAACTACCTACCTACCACCACCACCACCACCACCACCACCACCATACGACTACCCACCTAACTACCTTTTTTTTTTTTTAAAGAACGTGGCCTCAGCCTCCCCAATAGCCACACCTTCGCCACCATTTAATTACCTTAATATTAAATATCCTAATACATAAGTAGCTATCCTATCTGTGTTAAATTAGTTGAGCCGCAGATCGATGTGGCATTCAGTGACTGTAGCCTCATAGTCAATATCTGCAGCAGTTGTCGGCTTTGGGGCAGATGCTCTCGTTCCCCTGAGGCAGAGCAAAGCCGACCGAAGGAGAGAGAAAGACAGTCGACATCTCATCCAGGCTGTAACATAACTTCTGGGCTGCTGCTTCTGTTCGGAGATCAGCTCCGCAAGTCTGGCGTAGAAACATCTTGCACTTGGTCCCATCCCACCCTTCTCTTGTCGTTCTCGTTCCTCCTATGTGCAGCATCTAGAGCTAGGTTACGGTGACATGGCCTGGGATCAAAAAACTAACTACCTACTACCACCACCACCACCATACGAATACCCACCACACCCTAACTACCTACTACCACCACCACCACCACCACCACCTAACTACCTACCAATACCACCTAACTACCTACCACCACACCACCACCACCATGACTACCCACCACCTAACTACCTACCACCACACCACCACCACCATACGACTACCCACCACCACCTAACTACCTACCACCACCACCACCACCGCCACCTAACTACCTACCACCACCTAACTACCTACCACCACCACACCACCACCGCCACCATGACTACCTAACTACCCACCACCACGACTACCCACCACCACCTAACTACCTACCACCACCACCTAACTACCTACCACTAACTACCACCACCACCTAACTACTACCACCACCACCACCACCATACAACTACCCATCACCACCACCTAACTAGTAATCAACCACCATCTAAGTATTCACACCACAACCACACACAACTACCACTACCACACACAAACCTTCCCACTACTACTAACACACACACTAACTACCCACACCACCACCTATTACCACCACCACACACAACTACCTTCCTGCCTAACCACCCACCACCATTATCACCAAACTACCCACCACCACCTAACTACCGACCACCACACAATTACACCCCCACACGACTACCCCCACAACTACCACACAACTACCCCCACAACCACCACCCACACAACTACCTCTACCACACCACCCTAACTACCCACCCTCTAACTACCCACCACCACACAACTACCCACCACCACACAACTACCTCCCCACCACCCTATACCCACCACACAACTACCCACCACCACACAACTACCTTCCACCACTATCACCTAACTACCCACCACCATTATCACCTAACTACCCACCACCATTATCACCTAACTACCCACCACCACCTAACTACCTACCACCACACAACTACCCTCCACCACTATCACCTAACTACCCACCACCACACAACTACCCTCCACCACTACCACCTGTCACTCACAATCGAGTTTGACGATCATCCAGCTATGATGCAATAATATGTGTTATTAAAGATGTCACCTAGATTGGTGAGTTCTGAGGTGACTAAAGAGGCCGATACGGGACCAGCAGCGTCAGTCACAGATGTTGCACATGTGAAGGGCTACATCTAGTGCGGGAGTGGTGGCGGCAGCGTCTTTCCGGCATTGGCGTTTGTCTGCCTTGGTATGCAGTCGGACTAACTCGAAAGTATTGACACCTTCTTGTGTGGTGCTCCTCCAAGCGTTAAGGTGTGGAGTAATCGTCTTCCAGGTAAGGGGGTCGATTTGGCATTTTTTCAGGTTTGTCTTAAGACTATCCTTAAATATTTTCAGTTGCCCACCTGCCTTACTTTTAATATAAGTTAGGTTAACTGTAAAGTAGCTGCTTTGGCAGTCTACTGTCACCTCTGCAGGTAACATGGTCAGTCCAACGTAGTTGTTCATGGAATGGTAGCCTCGAAGTTCCTACAGTTGGTGTCAGCCAGAATACTGGCATTTATTCTCTTGTTTTCCCAGCTAACTCAGAGGATGGAACGTAGACTACGTTGGTAAAGTTTTCAAACGCTTTGAGGTGCCCTCCTTTAAGTGACCCATATCTTGCTGCCATATAGTAGGTTGGGGAGGACCACTGCTCGATGTATGCTCAACTTTAGGCATAATTTCAGCTCCGTACAGCTAAAGAGTATGCCAAAGGTTTGAGATGAAAATCTGATCCGATGTTAAATCTCTTCACCGATGTCCGCAGTGGTGGACAAGTGGGAGCCGAGATACCGAAATTGGGTAACATTAGAGAGGATCGTAAAGTTAAACTGGATAGATGGTGGAGGTTTGGCTGAACCAGGGGCGGGCTGAAAGAGAATCTGAGTTTTACGTACATTCACCTCAAGGCCGAAGTGAGCCTACACATCTGCAGAGGTGTTCAGCATCTCCTGTAGGTCGCGTTCAATATGAGCGACGAGGGTGAGGTCGTCTGCATACTGAAGTTCAGAAATGAAAACTGCTGACACCTTTGTTCTTGCCTGGAGTCGTCTTATGTTGAAAAGATCTTTCATCTGGTACTCTACTGTATGTCCACCCCGCCAGCTAAATCAACACTGGCACGATTAAGGTAGGCAGCCAAGAAAAGGGAAAAGAGAGTTGGTGCCAGTATAAATCCTTGTTTTATCCCTGTCTGGATGGGGCAGAATTCAGACTGGGTGCCATTGTGCAGGCCATTGCCGTTCATACCATCGTGGAGTTGCCTTACAATCGCAATGAATTTTGGTGGGCAGTCATAACAGCTGAGGGTCCGCCAGAGTGCTTCCTTGTTGACCGAGTCAAAGGCTTTGGTTAGGTCGATGAAAGCCAAGTACAGGTCACGGCGCTGTTCTGTGCACTTTTCCTGTACCTGGCGGGCAGCACAGATCATGGCAGTGGTGCCACATTATGGTCTAAAGCCACATTGAGATTCCGGGAGGAAGTTTTCCGCCCCAGAAAGAAGTCTGTTTCGGAGGACTTGGGCGATAATCTTGCCAGCTATGGACAGCAGGGAGATCCTACAGTAGTTGCCACAGTCTGACAGGTATCCCTTGTTCTTATAAAGATTGACGACGGAGACGTCTTTAAGAGCTTGGGGGATTTCTCTTTTTCCCATATATTCTCCAGGAGAGAGTGGAGACAGCTGGTAAGCAGAGGTCCTCCTGCTTTGTACATTTCGGCTGGGATTCCCTCAGGCCCTGAGGCTTTGTTATATTTTATCTGTTTGATGGCAATAG